TAATAAGGTTTTGTTTATCTTAGAAATGCCATTTTGTTAATTGTGACACATAGCTGTTTTGCTTTTCTTCTCATCTGTGATCATTAAGAGTTCCTCATGCACCATAAGCAGTACTGCCCTTCCACAAAAAAGCTCTTGTAGAAGAGTAGCTGAAAGAGCAAGTTGTGATTATACTTCAGGCATGTTTCCTTCTCTGTCTGGTATGATTTGAAGGTTTTATTACTTCAGAACAAAATTCTGAAAAAAATATAGCCATGGTAGCTTTAATAAAAATGAGATTTATTAAGGAAGGGGATGGAGCACTGGAGAAATGGGCGGTGTAACAGGTCTAAGCTGGAACGCTGCTAAGGCATGTCTTGATTGGTCTCCTTCATGTCACTAAGTGAACTACCATAAGCATCCTCTGATTGAACTTACCTGTCTCTCCTCTGCCTCTTGTAACTATCAAATCTGTCAGAGTTTCTGGAATCAAATGTCTTCTTTTGAGCGTGCTTTTGCTGTGTATTTCCTTCTCATCCATACAAGTGTTGATGAGTGCTGCTGTAGGAGCAGTAGCCCTGCAGGATGCCTCTGCAGGAGATACCCATGCCTACCTCATCTGCAGCCCACTCGTGTCCATAGGTTAGAAACACAGCCTGAAATGCTAGTGCAGGCACCAAGTCTGCCCAGAGTCTGATGGCATTGAACTACTACAGTCTTCATCTTCTGTATAATTTGAAGTTCTTTTGCAAGTGTTATACAAATGTCGCTCCTCATCCTTTTTCCATATCTTATTTTTGAACAGGCAGATCACAGCTCAAGTCTGTCTACCCTTTCTCCTAAATTATTGACCATGACTTTACATAGTAAATTGCACTGGCTACAAATGTTTGCTTGAACATAATTCATGACAGAGTTTAAAGAGACAGAGCTTACATATCATTTTCTCAGTTAGTAAACAACTGATGTTAATTTTGGCATTTCTCAGCTTCCAAGTGCTTAGTTTTGATAAGATGGTGTTCTTTTCAATACTTAAAGTCCATTTAAATAATTTTCTTATTAAAAAAAAAAAAGGCAGCAAAACTTGCACTGAAAATTAAATTACATCCTGCAAAATCCTACTGACCCTCCTTTCTCTGAAAGACCTTGACTAGTCTTGCAAGCATTGGCAACCAGAGCAACAGCATCCTCTGCCACCACATCACCGAAGTGACAGTAGCCATTGCAGGGGGTGATACACACTTCTACCGTTTGCCATGCTGGGAATGTAGACTGTGTAGCTGGGATGAAGCACAGGGTGGCAGATGCATTCCTGGGCTGGTGGCAAGAGTTAGGAAGAAACAGAACATGCTCTGTGGAAATCTTCACTCTGCTGTGCTTAGGTCAAACAAGGAATTACCAAATTTGGGCTTCTCTTTTTTTTTTTTTATATGCACAGTAAAAAGGAAGATACCAGAGACCTTGTTGTTTTGATTCTAGACCTTAGTGAAATGCTTGCAGAAAAAACTAAGTTAAGCACGAGCAGAATTTTTTTAGCCTTAATCTAATGAATAGTATCAATGAATGAAAAAAAAAAAATCAAGCCTTGAGCAGATGCTTGGAGTGGAAATTGTACTGAACATTGAGTTTAGAAAATGTATAAATGACTGAAAACATGCTTCTAACAATAGACCTTTTTAGGCACCTTGTTGTCAACTTGTAAGCCCTAGATCAAAGCGTTTAGCCTCAGAGTGATGCTTTTCTGTTTCCTGTTGTTACAACTTTTCTTATTCTTTCTGATTTCATTGTGTTGTTTTGGCTCCATAAACATTCCTAAGCTGTTTATTTTACCTCATTTGTAACAATTTCTTGTGCTTATTTAATTTTTTTAAGAAGAATACCTCACAAGAAGACTGAGAAGATAAGCAACTGCATATATGGAACACGTAACATAAGTTTAAATTTTGATGGTTGGGGAATTGTCCTGTAAATCTCCTGTCAAAATGGTTTTAGTGTTAGTTAAAACTGGTAAAGCTGGATCATTGCCTTCTTTAATGGCTTTGCTAGCACAGAGTTTTCTCCTGCTTTCCCTATATTGTAAGGTCATTAATGAATCATTATCTATTGCTAGTAATTACTGATCTCTTGAGAATATTGGTTTAATTATATAGGAATCATAAGTAGAAGATACAGTTACATATTCTACAATGTAGGTAGTAGTACCTTGGTGTATCATGGCTTTAAAGAATCTGGGTTTTTTTTGTAAATTTTAATTGCTAAGTGTACCTGGTAAAATATGAATTATTGTATTACCACATGTGATAAAAGGTATACTATTGTGAGTTTCACAGTCTGCAGGTGTAACAGATGTAAGGCAAGATTATCAGGACAGAACAATAATTAAAACACAGACAGCCATCTCAACAAAAAAAAAGGGAGGGGATGAAACAAAAAGAAAAGGTTTATCATGTGCAATGCAATTATTAAGGGTGTCTTAAATTCTCTGCAAATACTTGTAAAAGCAATAAAAATGTGTTAGTTTGAAAGACAGCTTTTCAGTGTGGGCACTTAGTTAAGGAATTAAGATCTTTTTTTATGAATATAAAAGCTGAGTGAAGTCCTGCCATATGGCAGCATGGTTCATAGGCAATAGGGCCTCGGTTTATAGATGCTGTGAGCTAAACGTTGCTGAAAAAAATAAGAGAGCATTAAGTATATATGCATTTACAACAGTATGAATTGCTTACTCTCTTTAAGACAGGAAGGTTCAAATAATTAACAGCAATATTATGGTTGCAAAAGGAAGTCCAGTTGTTCTTCAGCAGTCTACATCTGTGAAACGTGATACCTCTGGGGAATGAGATTTAATTTTCCCAGGAGAAAATATAAAAGCAGGAGAAAAAAAAGGAATGACTTCTGCTTGAGCAGAATAAACCTGCATCTACAAACGATTAACACTGCATAATGAAGTAGTAAAGAAGCAAAAGAGATTTCTAATAAAGGACTAATAACAAATCCCATTACACCATGGTGTATTTTTTTCTCCTGAAGTGTATTAGACTCTTAGCAAGGTTTTTGAATGAGACTTAGGTAGTTGCAAGCAAAGTCAGCTCAAATGCTTCAAGCTTTGCTGAGATTTCTTACCTAACAGTTTGTGTATCTGGCAAGTTGTGGTTTTACAGGTGGGAGGGGTTGCTACAGCAGGTACTGGGCTTCACACGGAGTCTGAGTAATGTTTGTGCCACCATAGGGCAATAGTCTCCTGCAGGCTGGGCACTGCAGAGTAATGTGCCACTATGGCAAAACCCCTTAAGTAGAATAGACATGGTAGTAAATGCACCAGCTAAGCCTTGCTTTTGTGAAACAGTTCTGATTTCTTTTTCTGAGGTCTCAAAATAAGTCCTCACAGGAAAGGGGTTTGATCAGAGAGGGAAATACACAGTTTTTGTTTTGTTGTAGCTAATATTGGGACTTCTGTAATTGCTGTACTAACATAAAAAGTTACAAAATCATAGAACATAAATGTTTGATGTGAGTGAATGATGCTATCTTTTGAAATCATGTATTTTCACTTTTAAAAGGGAACATATCTTGCAAGGAAAAGATTCTGTGTAGTGATCTCTAAATCTGTACGTGGTTATTTTTGTGGATTGTACATATGGTTCCAGTGGCATTGGGAATAAAAGTTTTGTGAACACAACCTTCACTCACAACAGTCCCTTTAAATTTCTTTTATAAGAGACTGTCTTTTTGTGCAGATCGTTACTATCTTCAAAGCTTGTGCTAGACTGGCATGCTGGAATTAGTTTGTCCAGTATTTTCTTTACACTGGAATCAGAAAAAAAAAAACAAAAAAAAAAAAACAGTAACAAAATCCTGGGTGCCTTAAACCAACAATGAGTTCTGGAACAAAAGTGGTTAAATATGAATTCTTACGAGTGAAATTAATCTTGAAAAAGAAATTTCTGGTTGCCTTTTTAGAAATTTTTGTGAGTTTTAAAGAATGACTTAATTTGCTTAGCAGAAATTTGCAATCAATCTTTTCTTGCCACTGAATAAACAGATTCCACATGCGTAGCTATTTGCATATCCCAGCTAAAAATGTAATTCATTATTTTTAAGTCCATTTCGTAATAACTATTTCAGGATTAATGTTACTAACTATTCTTTAGCTCATTCAAATGTGACCTTAGATAATCCTACCTAAAAAGATACAAAGCTAGTGGATCTGTTCTGGAATAGGGAAGAGAAGTGCCTTTCCTGAGGTCAGCAAGTAAGTCAGTGTAAAAGTCAGAACTAGAAATGAGAAAACTAGAGAAATAATTTTCTTCTTCTGCATCTCAAGCTTCCAGCCTCAAGCAAATATTGCATTTAATATAAAAAATTTTCACATTTTGCTAGGTATAAAAATGGCACAGAGATGAATAGGAATTAACAGTATAGTCTACGTGAGGATTATCACTAAATCTGGTAAAGATTTAAATTAGCTTTAATGAAAATAGCATCCATAGCATATTTTATATGGAGTTGCAAACACTGTCATCCATTACAGGGAGAAAGCCCCTTCACCGTTACTGTGTCCTGGTCCATTTTAGTTGCTGTTTGGCATCTGCTTCTGAACTGGCTTTCGCTTGACTGGGCTTTTCAGAGCTTCTCATAAACCACTGGCTTCACCCTCCTGGTTTTGCTGTTCCAGGCCATTCTTGCATAACATTTTCTCTCCTTCATCTTAGGTCACTATCACATTAAATTCTCAAAAATGTGGTACATGGGATTGATCTATTTTGTCCTTTGAGTGTCACCCACGTAATAATATTAGTCAGGGAAGCTTCTACAGTCTCTAATGTATAATTTCTTTGATGTAGATGCAGTAACATTTCCACAAATACAATTAGTTAAGTCTTTATCAAAGATCTTGACAATTAGCAGAATTTTCTGATAAAATGTTTAGGACTGGAGCTGATCCTGGAATATATGTCCTGACTTTACCATACTTAGTAAAATGGAAAAATACAAGTCGTAACTTTTCCCCTTTTTTTCAGGCGATGGGTAAGGCTCCTGTTTGGACGTGAATTCCCTCTTCAGGATCTTCTGGTTGTCTGGGATGCTCTATTTGCTGACAGTATCACCCTGAATTTAGTTGACTACATTTTTGTAGCCATGTTATTGTATATCAGAGATGCCTGTAAGTATCAGCTATCTTACTTTTTTTTATATAAAGAATGCAAACCTATTCTTTGAAAGGAGACCTTAAAAAGGCTAAATTTCATTATGACTTTTTTAACATATTGAAAATCATTCCAAATACTAGGAAAAGAGCTATTTATTATGAGACATGGCCTCCTGTATTTATGAAACAAATTGTATCTTGGAATTAAATGCAGGTTTGTTTTGTGAGTAGTTCTGTGTTTTTACGTGGAGTTGCAGCTTTTATGTGCTCTAAGTGATACAGGCAAGTATAGAGCTCCACCTTCTGACGAAGCTCATGAATTGAGTAAAGCTTCCCTGTGACACTTGAAATATTTTTATGCTGTTCCCCTGCGAGAAAGGAGAAAATGCACGAAACAATGGCTCACAATTTTTGAAGAGATATCGTGAATAAAACACACAGATGAGGAGCAATCACTGAATATGTTTAATCTGTGCAAGAGGGGCATCTCAAAAAAATTATCATTTATTTTATTTCGCTTCAGTACACCTGAAATTTGTGGACAGGTAAATTTTTATAATTTAGTGATGATCAATAATATTAAGTTGGAACAAACAAGCAATCAAGAAAATTTATATTTTCTATATAATTTTAAATGGGAGGAGAAAGATACATAATGATAATAGAGGCATTTATTTCTGTCCTATCAGATTCTGCAAAAAATTCTGTATGCAACTGATGCAACAAAGTATGCATTTCACAGCAAGATGTATGGCTGTCATTAAGTATGTGAATTCTATAGCAAGTTATTCAGAGTTAAGTATATACCATCTGTAAGCTTCAGGTTATAACAAGGTCACATATTTGACACAATTTTGTATTCTAGGACATAGGAAGTTTTCAACATCTGTGGTTCCTATTTTAGGGCCCAGTCTTGGAAATATAATGTGGTACTTTACACGTACATGTTGTTCCACTGCCTGCCTTCATGTGTTTTTTAATTACTTTTTAATAAACATGCAGAATATAGAGCTACCTTTCATTCCTCTCAAAAAACTGGATGTTTAATTCTGGTCAGAAGTTTTGAAATTAATGGTGATGTTTCAGGATGATCTGACTCCAGGTCATTATGTTTTGCAGTTTAAATCTTGCTTGTTTATATTCAGTAAACTGAAGTAATTTAAAATTTTAGGTAGAGATATGTTCTGAAGAGGCATGTAAGAAAGTTTCTTAGCATCAATATTTTATTTTGTGTCATTGCTTACTTTTAAAAAAAGCAGCACATTAGAACTGTGCTCCTAAGAAGCCTCTCTCTTCTTCGGAAGGGAAAGTTGAAGTTGTTCTGGCTTTGTTTTCTTTTGATTTGTATTGCTGAGGTACAAGTATCAATACGAGTTAACTAAAATGTGAGTTAAAAATGTGTTCCAGGCTTTTGTATGAAATCAATCTCCCTCTTTTCCTTGAACTTCCCAGGCTTAGTAGATAGAGTAGTAAATAGCTTTGCAGTGAAGTACATTTACCCAAATGAGAGGCAAATTCACCTCATCAGGACAGCTAATATGTCATATTTTTGACTGTTTCTGTAATAAGTAACTTCTTGTTCTACAGCTGGACCTAGTTAGTTACTCTAAGCATAACAGAAAGGGGAAGCAAAATAAGTCATAAATACTGTAAAGTTGAATCTATATTTCCAAATTAAATCTCAAACCATAACAATTTCCACAGTTCTTGATTACATGAAAAACCTTTTGCTATATGTCTGTAACAGAAAGTTTTCTGGTTTTCCTCATGTTTTTTATTGCTGATAATATTTGAGCTTTGAACAGAGTTCAAAGTTGTAGTAATTTTAAAAACATCTTCAAATAAAGTAAGTTTATGAAAGCTTCTCTTTATTTGGTGAAAGGAAACATAAGCTCAAAACATCCAGTGGTGATAATCATCTTTAATTTAAATAAACCATCGGGAAATTTTTAGTTTAGAAACTTTGAAACAATAAGAACAATAATAAAGCTCCTGCGATATTATGTTATGAAAATGTCAAATATAAGCAATTATAATAATACAGTACTCAAAGCATTTGAAAGTTTAGAAATTGTGCTGAATCTTTTAAAACAACACATTTGGGGATGGGTGAAAGTTGTTGGTTTGAGAATTGATGAATTCTTTTTCTGTGCTCTATTATGATATTCTCAAGGACATGATTTTAAGAAACTAGTATTTCTTCTATATTTCTCATTTTTATTTTAGTTTTGAAATCCTCTGTTACTCAAATATATTATGCAAGGAGAAGGGAACATTTAGATTATCAGATTATTGCTTATATATTTTAGAGATTACAGATACATAATCATGTACACAGCCATTCTGTAAACTGCTCTGTTCAGCTTTACATCTGTATCCAAGCAGATCTTTGTCTGTGGAGTGATAATCCTCACATGCCAAGCATAGGGTTGTGTACCACTGTAGCTGTAAGTTTTAATAAATTATTTCCTGTGTTTCTTTGGAAAAATTCTTGTAAAAATGTTTTTGGTTTTTTGAGTTGTTTTTTTTTTTAATCTATCAAATCAGGAGCATGAATATTTGTTTCTGTTTCACCAGTGTGAATATACATGCAGTTGATGAAATCAGAATGGAGGGAAGGATGTGATGCAAAAATAGATGTATTTTATATACTTCCTTCCAAGGAAGACCAGAATGAAGAAACCTGGAAGACCTGTCTATATTTTGCATAGTAAATTAATGCCATTATTGCACAAGGAGCTAATTTTGACTGATCAGTCTTAGAATAAGTGTATTTTTAACTTGTTTCCACTTGAGGAGTAGGTATGGCCATTGTTAGAATTTAGTTTTTCATCACTGTGAATATTTTGGGAGAAATAAAGGAGCCATAGCTTCTTCTTAGAGGAACTGATTAGTTATTTTTGTTATAGTGCAAGATGTAAATTTGTCTTTGTTTAACTCAATTTAGGGGTTACTAAGGAGAACCTGGCCATGTGTAAAGCACCAGGGGGGAGTAACCCCACCATTCCAGGGTTATTTATGAACTAATCTGGATACAGAATCAGTGACATCAAATATTAAAACCTTTAAGAAATTAAATGTATCAGAAAATTTGGACTTTGTTGAGGACAGTACTCTGAATTTTCAGGTTTTCCACCACATTACTGCTGCTTGTATCCGGGGTGGTTATTGGGCCAACAGAGAAAGTTCAGTCTCTTCTGCAGCAGAAGGGAGAAGACAATTTGATGTTCCTCTGTCACTAAATTACAACATTAATAAAAGGAAAGTAAAATTGTTTTCTCTGTGGGGAGGAGTTTCTCTCTTCCTTTCCCTAGAAATGCCAGTAGGATTCTTCTTTGGGGAAGTGAGAATTTGTGGTTCACAGTAGAAGTTGGGCCCAGATGTGACTCTCACTAAGTCAATGAGAGAAGGAAAAGCACAGCTGAAGAACCACCAAGCTTTTTACAAGGCAGCTGGACACACCAGCTACTGCTGAGACTGGATATTTGTATTTCACAGCATCTCCTTCCAGAAGCTTCATCCTGCAGACGATTCTTAGAAAAATCCATTTAACACCAATAGGCATATTCAGTTTTGTTTTACTGCTGTTTACCTATAATTTTTGAGAAAACTGCCCCTCTGTTGCATAATATTACATATTTTGTCCTGAAGAGGCAAGAATCATAGAATGGTTTGGGTTTGGAAGGGACCTTCAGGGATCATCTCGGCGAATCCCCTGGCATGGGCAGAGACATATTCCACTAGACCAGATAGCTCAAAGCCCCATCCAACCTGACCTGGAACACTTCCAGGGTCATCCACAACATCTGTGGGCAACCTGTGCCAGTGATTCACCACCCTCACAGTGAAGAATTTCTTCCATATGTCCAATCGAAACCCAACCTCTTTCAATTTAAATATTTGGGGGAAGCCCTAAGGATAAAAGAAACCCTTATATAAAAATTAGCAAGTCTTCTCTTTAAAGTGCTGGAATTTTTTTTAACATTCTGAATGATAAGGGTTTTATGGCAGGGGTCAAGTCTGCACCATTAAAATAAATTCATTTTTTTAATATTTAGTTTTCTCTATATCTGAGAGACAGCAAAGAACTCTTCCAGGAAAAAATAAAGAAAATATATTTTTAATCCATTTTACATTGCAGAATAGAACACATACTTACTTCTTCAAAGGAGAAACACATTAGTGTTACTGTCTATTATTTATAAAAATATTTAGCATTTAATATCAATATTCACTGTTTTTATTTGCTTTGGTAAAAAGGCATCGTGATCATAACTGCAGTTCAGTATCTTAAATTTGATTTACATAGGAGAGTTTGATTGGGTATGTTCTGTGTGGTGTTCATGTTATACTCTGAAATAACTCTGACAGAGGCCATTGTATTGTGTTCATTATGCCAGCTTTGTGACTTCAAGAAGAAAAAGCAGGTACCTGAATATGAACAAGAAAAACAAAGGGTAGGAAAAAGAACAGGCAGAACAGATAAAGAATGAGTAGGATAAGTGAGTGCTTTACAAATGAAAGCAGATGTATGAAATTACAAGCTGTCGGATCAGCAACGGAAATGAAGATGATGAAGTGGTTCCTTACACAGATTATAATTATTCATTTTGCCCAGTCCTGCATCTTTTCCCCATAATCCTCTTGTTGTGGGAGGTAAGGTAAAGGAGGATATGAGGCTTATTCACATGAAAGAAAAAAAAGTAAACCATTTAAATTTGTTTGTCCACAAAACTGCCCTATATTTTGCTTTGTATTGATTCAAAATAATCTTGTATTTGCAATATCCCGATTAATTAAAGGTATTTCTTACTACAGTTAAAGTTCTCAGCATAGTAAAGTTTGTTAGAAATTTATTTACAATTGTTATTGTTTATGTTGCAGAGTGGAGGCATCATTAACAGGCATTGCTTTGACAGCTGTGGCAGATGGATTGCCTGGATTTAGATGGTGCAAAAGAAATGAAGTAGTTTACATAGACCTGCTTGAAAAGATGTCTTTAATAATTGCACTCATAATTAGATTGATTTGGGAAGGAAAGAAAAAAACCCAGATGACAACAACAAGCAAAAAGCCATAGAGTATGCTTACATAGATTTAGATAAAATCTAAAAGATTAGAACAAAATTATAAAATTTAGCAAAGCATGCTGAAAATTTTCTGAATAAGTGTTAAGTGAAAAAATCTAAGCAAGTTAATGGTGTATTATATTTTTTAGTATTTATGAAATTAAAATCTAGTCTTTTCGCTTTTTTTCTGAATATTTTGTGAAGTTTCTGATTTGAAAAAAAACAAGGAGTTGTTGAATAATTTCATGTATGCATAGGTATCTGAGTGTGTATATGTATGTAAATATATATTTAAGAACAACATAAAAGATATTTCAGCAAAAACCCATCTGAGTGAGGCAAACTTATCATAAAGCCATAAATGCAAATGATCACATTTAAATGTATATGTCTGTGGAGGAGCGTCTGAAAGGTCCATGTCCATTTTGCAGCACAGGATTTGTTCTTCAAGCTCTGCTGATGGTGTTGCCCTGAGCTCCACGGACTGGGGCAGGCTTTGGGGGCACAGCTACAGAGGTCTGAATTGAGGCATCTGAATCTGGAGCTAGCAGAGCTCTTTTTATTTATACTAAACCAAGTGTAGTCACAAGGCTTGATTATATCTATCTCCTTTTACTCTGAGCACTGCTTGAGTTCTGAGACACCATGTGGGAAAAGACAGCCAAATCTGAACTGTAATGAATTTACTGGAAGAAGTAATGGTTTGGAATATCAAAGTAACACAGTAATATTCTCTTTCTCCCTTTTATTTTCATTTTAATTCTAGTGATTTCAAGTAATTATCAGACCTGTTTGGGACTTTTGATGCATTATCCACCTATTGGAGATGTTCACTCCCTTATCCTAAGAGCACTTTTTCTCCGAGATCCAAAGGTGAGATGCTCGCTCTGTTAATATAGGAAATAAATCACTGTAATTAAATGTTCTAAATGCTATGAAGTTAATAACAACCTGCATTTTGGAAACTAAATGGTAGTTTCAAGTTTCTTTTTACCTGACAAAAGAGCTGAAGGAAAGAGTTAGAAGCAGAGTAGAAACAAGTTCCTTCACTCTTTAAAGGATACTTTAAAGGACACTTAGCTAAAGTTATCCGGGAGTTCTGGTAACTGCAGATGTGCTCTTTAGAATAACTTTGCTTGGTATGCTGCACAGACATCTTTTAGGATAAAGTATACTTTTCAGGGAAACAGTAATGTTACTATTTAAAACCTAGTAAGCTGTATAGAAAGCATCATGTAATTTCATCTGAAAGACCTTTTTCATGGGATTTCTGGGATTAATCACTGTTAATCCTTAAAGCACTACCCCTGCCCAATATATAATGGCTATTTGATGGTTTTTGATTAAAACCTCGAGTTTGATGTTACAGCCTGTAAAGATTCACATGTACAAAATGTATAAACTCATACATTCATGCCACATATTACTAGCATGCAATTCATGATGTACTCATCTATTAAAAAAAGAAAGAAAACCTCTTCCTGTTTTAGAATGGCATGTGTATATGTGTGGATATAATATACAGGAGGCACTCACTGTATAGTGGATAAAGTGCTTGAGATTCAGCTGTACACAGTAATCTGTGCTTACTCAGATCTCTGGCAGATAGCAGAATTGTGCTGCTGGTTTTGAACTGTCTTTGTACGTGTCCCAATAGTAGGTTGCCAGTGTAAAGTCTTATTTCCCTCATCTTCATGATGAGCAACATCTTTGAAAGCAAAAAATTCATCACTTCTGCACTCTGACTGCCTTCTGCAAAATTTCATTCAGTACCAGTGTTTACACTTTTATGGATTAAGAAAAAAATTGTCTCTTTGCTTTTCTATATCAGTTTTTTGCAGAAATCTGCATCCTTATAGTTGTTTTTTTCATTCCTCTCAAGCACAAAGATTTCTTTCATGATGAGAAGTAAATTGTATCATCTTTTCAGTGTGTAAGAAAGTTTCTAACGTTAGATCTCAGGAATCTTTCTTAAGATTTTGGCAGCAGTTTGTGAAATCCAATTGCCCAGCATTTGTTTATGTACTTTCATAGCAAAACAAAATAGAAATATTTTTTAGAAGAAAGATACAAAGGGAGGAAAATTTTGCTCAGTTATCCATCTGAATTCAGTGTGTAATCTGTCATTTATTGAAGAGATATGTTAAACAATAAAGTGATTACTAATTATTCAGCTGTCCTCTGAAACATGCTAGGCAGCATACAAGATACTCTGTCAGCGGAAGGGGACAAAAATTAACCACCAACTTCCCACAAAGAGGCTTAATCTCTATTCCACTTCTTATGCTCTTGTCTCCAACAGAATGAAGTTGTCAGGCTCATAAGGCCTTGATGTCCTATTAATTAACATTCTCAGGTGGGCCTTGAACACCTTTCAGATAAATACTGGATGTAATTCTGTAGTTCTTTGCTCAGGTGAATCAGTACTTGAAACTCTTTGATTCAAAGAGTGGTAGTTGCTTTGTCAATTTAAATATTATAAAATCCAGTTGTTTCTCATTTCTGAGCTGTACTTTTTTGCTTGGTAAATACTCTGAATGTTGAGAAGGTCTGATTTCCAGAAAATGAATAGCCTAAGGGACTTGCAGCCACCTCTAATTTTACACCGTGTCTTTGTATTGAGGCTGCATGAAGATATCAGGACTTCTTACAGTAAGGACATAAAACCATTCTAAAGGATCCTTCTAAAACTAAAAAAATTGCTCAGGTTCTGAGAAATAAATGTATTTTCAAGGCTATTACTTGAGTACCTCTTTCTTACCTTTTCCTAAGTGTGACTTCAAGTTTCCCTTAGGTGTCTGTAAGCATATGTTTGTTCAATCTCTTTTTTCCTTATACCTGAAATAGAAGTCTTGGTGTTCTATAAGACTTATGCACAAACAATTCCAAGTCTGTCAATATTTTTCATTAAAAGGAATGAAAGGAAAGATTCAACAATGCATCATGGGTGCTGTAGAAGTCTAAAGCACTGATTATATAGGAAAAAAGTGGGAAAATTATGGTTGTTTTTTTTTTTTTTTTTTTTTTTTTTTTTGCTAGTTGCGTAGAAATAATTCAGTTTGCCCTTATTCCTTGTGCAGAGAAAAGGAGATTGGAAGAAATGACAAAGAGATTTTAGTCTGTAGTGCAACTTGTAAGTGGTGATTAACAAATTCAGTGCTTAATTATTTTTCTTCTTTGTTTGATGTTTTCCTGTGCATTTCTCCATCACAAGCTTCTAGTTTCTAATATGAAATTACATTTGGTTCAGTGCAATTTTATCTCTCCTTATCCAGGGCTGAGTTTTCCTGCATGGCATTTCTTTCGTTGTGCTTGGGGTTTAACATGTGAAATCAGAGAACTCTTCTCTGGGAGACTTTTGCATGGTCCAGACTTTTGCATGGTCCATTATTATTTCATTATTTGTTGAACATACCAAGAATGTTTAGTGTTGTTCCAAATATCTGAGAGAGGCTTGCTGTCTGCTCCTTGAAACTTTAAATCTCAGCTGGACAAGAAATTCAGTTTAGAAGTCATTGCTAGTTGCAAACAGGAGTCTACCTCTTGCAGGTTTGCTAATATATATGTTGTCTTCCATATTATTTTTACAGCTAGGAAAATACCAAGTCATCTTACAGAGGGGAGGTTGTGGGGTATTTGGACTAAGAAAGGTTGGAGGTAGATGGATAAAACTGAAAGGTTCTTAAGGAACAATCTTGTCATAAATGGTGAAGTTGTTATCAGATGTTAACTCAGATACAGCTTTTCCATTTGTAACTTCCAATTGTGGCAATAACCTGGGTTTGTATATCTAAAAACATCTATAATTTTTTCTCTTTCCTTACTCTGACATAACAGGTATTTCCTTCTTACTTTTTGTCATGTAGTCTATCAGGAGAGCTAAACTTAGGCTTGATCAACCTGTTGCATTTTGTTTGCCTCTTTTCACTGCAGTCATCACCAAGAGAGCAACCTAAATGTCAGAAGCAAGCTGTACTTAAAAGGTGGGGGGCATTTTTTCTTACAGGTGGACAAGTAAAATTTCCTGACCTTTTGTGAAATCATGCCTTACCAGAAGCCTTAGCATTATCCAGTATTAACAATAATATGAAAAGTAATTAGTACTTGCCATTAACCTAAAGCTTGCAGCAGCTCTCCTGTTCACTTTGGGAACCCCACTTGGCAGTCGAGATGAGGGAACATTTTAGATACCACATCCCTGATATTTTTCAGTTCCACAGAAGAGAAATACACATCTCTGTAATAGCTGAAAACAAGTTAATGCACCTGTCTCTGAGGGGGGGGGGGGGCCTGAGAGATACTAATTTTACAGGCATGAGTATGGATCAATGCAGATTAATTGAATTTCAGCCTTTTCTGCATTTGACTATCTCCGCTTCTTAGGAAAATGTGGAATGAAAAGCTCAAATCAGTGTTGTTGTCTTTGCATAGGGTGATAAAGTTAACCTGCTTAGCAGAGTATTTGTTTCACATTTCTAATCTTTGAACAGATAATTGCCTCAATTATTTATATTAAAGTAACTTCTATGCATTTACAATCTTTCTGAATATAAAAGTAGAGCTTCTTATGGAAGAATGGGCTATTAAAATTGTGTATATGTGAAATGAAAAAATAAGGGAAGGTTCTTCTATGAATATCCAAAAACATTTACTGAAGGTGTGTGTCTGCATATTTAATACAACACGAGTGGCTCATTTTCTTCAGTTTTTTTCCTTATCAAAACCATTGAGCACTGTTAATTTTCACAGCAAAGGCAGCAAAATTAAGAAGTAGAGATATGGAGATACGGCACTGGAAAAATATAAAGTGATTAAAAAACATAGTTCTAACTAGAGTTGTTCAAATAAAAAAAAAAATTTAAAAACCCAATTAGAAACAAAAGTCATAGAAAATGTGAACATATTGTGTTCCTTAAATAACCAGATGTTCTTTCCTTCCTGAAGGCAGCCAGGGCTAGGAATAAAAGGTTTAAAACTATTGTTTTAAGTTAACTGTGAATTTTGAAAATCTGTTTTCACCCTTTAGCAAATAAAATTCTAATACAGCAACATAAGCAAAGTAATTTTCATCTTTGGGTGTTCTTATTTGTATGTTGTTCAATGTTGAAGTGTTAACCTTATCACAGTGACTTATTGGAAAACTAAAACACTACATAGAATACTACAGTTTTGCACTGCATACTAAGAACCTGACAACTGCCCTTTGTCTGAAAGCTTACTGTATTTGTTCTTAATTTTTATGTAAAACAAGTTTGCTTTCAGATATTTTAGCATGGTGAGTTGTCCCGTTCATTGAGCAAGCTAGTTAGGAGCTTAATTCAGTGGAGACATCTTTTTATCATAAGCTACCAATTTAAAAAAAAAAAAACAAAAAAGAAAAAGAAATGTGCTTGGTTGATGGGAAATAATTTGTTACTTATGCTAATAATATTATAGCTACTGATGCTGATATTTTCTCAACATTGTATTTTAGCTATTTGCTGACATTGAAAGTGGCTATATATAAATATTAAATTCTAGTTAAATCCATGGAGAAGAATACATGACATTTCAAAGAAGTCGTATTAGTTCGTCATGACTGAAATTACAGATACTGCCAGAAAACTTAAGCAATAAAATATGGTCATGATCACTCATATAACGAATAGTTGGAAAAATCTGCATTCTAGCTTTTAACACTCTTCACTGTCTAAGCAATGAGTAACAAGGGGAAAACACATTGCTGAAATTTTGAACCAAACTCTTTGTACATTTATTTTCAGCTGAATTTTCTTCTTAAGTAGCTGCCACCGTCTCCTAGTTTTCTCCAAGCTGGTTTCATGTGCCTGAAAGGCTGTTGAGTTTCACTTTCTTCTTCTTCAGACAAATTCTTT